CGAGCAGGGAGCCCGATGCGGGACTTGATCCCGGGACTCCAGGATCATGACCTGAGCCGAAGGCAGTCGCTTAACCAACTGAGCCACCCAGGCGCCCAACATCCAACTCTTGATTTCAGCTCAGGTCATGATCTCAGTGTCATGAGTTCGAGCCCCCGTCAGGTTCCACGCTCAGCAGGGAGTCTGCTTGAGATTCTCTCTGCACCTCCAGCCCACTCATGAGCTCTCTCTCTCTCCAAAATAAATAAATCTTTAAAACAAAAGTGACAAGTGCTATATAATGGGGAGGGGGTCGTAAATGGTGTTCAGGAGTACAGACGAGGGACACACAAGTCATACTTGGCAGATCCTCATGAGAGGGCAGATTCAAAGAATGTTCTAGACAGAAGCTAATCTGCACTGAAGTCACAGAGCAGGACGCATGAGGGGACCTGGCAGGTGACCAGTGTTGGCTGGAACACAGAGAGAGGGTGGTGGGAGGCAAGATTGCAGAGGGGGCTGTGCTCGGGAGGACATCTGAGCCACGTCGAAGGATTTAGCTCTCTGGCAACTGTGAGCTAGTGAGTTTGATTGGGGAGCGGCACACTTTTATCTGCACTTTAGAGAAGGAAACTCTGGTGATGGTGGCGAATGAGTCAGAGGGGTAAGAGTAGAAGTGGGGAGAGCCCTCAGGAAGCTGTTGTGGTCACTGTCATGAAACAGTGGTGACCAGAACCAGGGTGGAAGCTGTGGGAAGGAAAGCAAGTGGATGGAGTCCAGAAATACACATGAGTCTGGGGGGCTGCTGTTGGGCCCAGCTTCCAGGAAAGAAACTGCTGCAGTCGGAATCCAAATCCTTTAGCTGGCCCCATATCCCAGCCCAGGGGAGGTGCCTCATCCTCCAGGTCTTCAGAAGGGTAACCTTGTCTCCCAGGAGCCAGCCCTGGAGCCCTGCTCCTTTTGCCAACAGCCTCAGGCAGGATACATGGGAGATGTGGGGTACAGAGAAGAGAAGAATTCTGGGGGAACCTCCTCCTGCCACCCTCTTTGACTCGGCCTCAGGGCAGAACAGCACACTGCACCCAGTTTGAAGACTCCACGTTTCAGACCCGTGACAATCTTAAAGCACTATATCTCAGTGCCTACCCTAGGCCACTCTTCTTTTTTCAAGCATAGTTAACATACAGGGTTGTATTAGTTTCAGGTGTACAATATAGTGATTCAGCAATTCCAGACATTACTCAGTGCTCATAAGGATAAGTGTACTCTTAATCCCTTAATCTGTTTCACTCATCCTCCACCCACCTCCCATAGGCCATTCTCTCTCAGGAGGTGGGGAAAAGGGTTTATCTCTTAAAGACTCATTCTAGGCCCTTTGGACAGTCATTTTTAATCTTTCCCCTTAGAGGGCCTGGAATGATTTGTTGTGCTTGAGAATGTGAACATTGGGCTGTCATAATATCTCTCATTCTGCCAACCTGCTGGACTCCCCTTCTTCTGGGTCATAGTCTCAGCATTGCCCGTTATCTCTAAAGGGACAACATCCAGGACCACTGTATCTTTGCTGCACAAAATATCTGCAGAAATCCATTTTTTAAAAAAAGTCCTTTAAGCAGCCAGCTTTCACCTAACCCCACACAATACATAGGGTTCAGAGAAGCTCTGAGATTGGTGTGTTGCTTACTGGCCCAGTGCATGGCATCCTCTAGGTGCTGGACCAGTGGGACAGTGTTTTTTCATGACTCTTCCATGCAGAGTTGCCCTTCCTTCTAGAACAGTGGTTCTCAACTGGGAGTGGTTTTGTCCTCCAGGGGACAGTTGGCAATGTCTAAAGACATTTTTGATTGGGGGCAGGAATGGGCTCCACTGGCATCTCGTGGATAGAGGCCAGGGATGCTGCTAAGCATCCTGCAATACCCAAGATCGTTGCCCACACAAAGAGTTGTGGGTCCCAAATGTCAATAGCACAAGGTTAAGAAACCTTACTTAAGAACATCAGTCTGTGACCAAACCCTTGAGTTCTTCAGGCCCTGTAGGGTTGCTAGAACAAACCGCAAGTTCAAGAAAAACTCACTTGGCATTGTATTTCTTTCCACAGCTGAGCTCTGTCCAGGAGGCCCAGGTAGAGCGGCTGGAGGCAGCAAGACCCTGCAGGCCGGGGAGCAGGGAGCGGGACCCCGTGCTGAGGATGGCCAGGCAGCAGCCGCCGCCCTGGGTCCACACAGCCATCCTGCTCTGCTTCCTCAGCCTCACTGGGGCCATCGAGATTCCTATGGATCGTGAGTCCTGCTCCATCCTCTTCTTTAATTCTCCTGATTTGGGGCAGAGGAGTTGGAGGGGAGGGATGGTCAGGGGGGAGTTAAGATCAGCTTTTCGAAGAGGCTGGAGAGCGGGGTAGCAGTGGATTCTGGATGGAGGCCGGCAGGCTTGTGTTTGGGACCGTGAGACGAATCGTGTAGCACGATCTCTGAGGACTGTGGCTGAGCTGAGGCTTGCGCTGTCTGGAGCCTGCTGAGTGGGACCAGAGGTGGCAGGGTTTACAAGTCTGTGTGTCACTCAGGAGTTCTTCCCTCTACTCCCCTCCCACGGCCCTCTGCGGTCTTGACTTGCCCATCGACGTGGAGCTTCCAAGGACCCAGTGTAGTGGATAGTTACTTGCCTTTCTAATATCTGAGCTGGATCCTTGGGCTGTCTTGGCTGGACTGAATCAGGATGGATGGCCTGGGGATGGTTGGGGAAGGGAATTATTCTGCAAAAGACCGGGGCTAAATGAAACATTAAAATAGAGCTCCATTATAATGCCACTGTGGGAAAACCAGGAGCTGATTTCTTGTGTTTGTTTTCAGCTCTCCCATGGCAAAGCTGGGAAGTAAAACCTGTGTCATTCTATGTCCCACGGTGGGGGTGTTATTTGGCCATCAGAATCATCAGGCAAGGGGCTTTGGATGCTGATCTAATAGCCCCATCTCTAGCAGCCATTCTGTTGTTATGTTCAGAAGGGGCCCATGGACTGGCAGCCCCGTTCCTTTGCCCCGCATTTAGATGTGTACCACCTTGCCACAATCTGGCCCTTCCATCAGAATGTCTTGGCATTCCAGTGCTCTGATGTGGGCATACCACCTCTGTCGCCTGTTCCTGCTTCCAGAAATAGATGGGACCCACATGATGCCAACCCTGACTTGGGCTCTATCCAGGTGACAGATGTCTGGGGAGGGTTGGGAGAGTGATACAGCCTCCAAGGAGTGCCCACTGAGCTCTCCTAAGCCAGGGCCTGGGGCCTGGAGTTAGCCCAGCTTGGAGAAGAGTTGCACATACTTCAGCCCCCTCCCGCCCAACCCTACCAATAATAGCTGCCCAGAGGAGTAGGCACTTCTGGGTAAGAGAAGACTAGCAGAAACTATAAGTTGGACCCAGAAGCAAGATGGGCAAGGCCCCTGCTGCCCTCCCAATAGCCCTGTGTGTGTGTGTGTGTGTGTGTACGCATGTGTATGTGTGTGTGTGTGTGTATTCAGTGGGGGGGGGGGGTGTCGTGAAAGGAACTGTTCCCATAGAGACCATCTGCACTGCTAACTCAAAGAAGAGTGTCTCATTAACAATCCCAGGCAGACAATCTAATAAGGAGCACGATAAGGCCATGTCCCTGGAGAGGAGAGGGTGTGCCGAGGAAATTGGGTTATCAAGGAAGTGGTGAAGGCTCATTTCTCTTCTGCTGCTTCTCCTCACTCATTCACCTGCCACTTTGGTCCCTGGGGCTAGTGGGTGAGGGGTTCCTCCAAGATGAACTTATAAATAGATGGCTTTGACCTCTATGTTAGGAATCTGGATTTCTAAAGCGCTATTGGAGCCGTGGGCAGGTGACCCAGCAGTGGGTGTCTCCAAAGTACCGCGTGTGGGGCAGAGAGCTGCAGGTGCCCTGACCTCCCCAGCACCATCTCCCCATCTCCTCAGTTTCCATGAGGAGGGAGGGCCCCGGAGAGTCCCCGCTTCTGGAATTGTCGTCAAGGACACGGAGACCCAACACAGCAAACGGGTGCTGGATTCATGAATAGACAGCTTTGTGCAGTCGCAGTATCGTAGCCAATGAGGTTTATCCGAGGCGCGATTATTGCTAATTGGATTCATGAATAGATCCCGGGTCTCTTGACCTGCCACCAGGTTGGCACTCGACACACCTCACCCCGACCTCCGGTAATCCCACCTTCTTTTAGTTCTTGGAACTCATCAGGGTAGCAGCTGCTGTGCGCCCGGCCGAGAGCGAAGTGCTTTAGGAGCATCTCCTGTGATTCTCCCAGTGAATCCTTTGCTGACAGGTTAGAAAGTGGAGGTACACTCTCCAGCACCTAAGTGGTAGGGCCAGCGCATGACCACAGCCCCTCTCTGAATGAGGAAGGGGATCCTTTTATGACACCGTGTCTGGTGCCCCGGCTCTGTCACAGCAGGAAACCCATGCGGGCTTCCCGGAGGAAGTGCATCTGAGGTGGCTGCAGGCACAGTGGCCATGGCGACCTCTCCAGAACGAGTCTGCTACAGCTGAACGCAAGACAAGAGAAGGCCAGCCCTTCAGAGGGGACCCAGGTCCTCTTCAGCCAGCTTTTCCCCTCCTGCTGGGCCAAGCATGACAGGCACCCTCTCCCCAAGTTACCTGAGCCCATCCTTCCCTCTTACCCTGGGCTGAGGCCCAGGAGGATGGGTTGGGGAAAGATCACACATTCTTTTTCCTTTCCCCCTCAGAGTTACTGAGATATTTATTGATATACAACCTATGTAAGTGTAAGGCGGACAACTGGGTTATTTGCTACACGTATATATTATGAAATGATTGCCACATGGGTTCGTTTACCCGTCCATCCCTTCCCATAATTACCTTGTGTGCATGCGGCGATAGCTTGGAAGATCTACTCTCGAAACAACTCTCAAGTGTATGGTACAGTATGCTAATTATGGTTGCCATCTGTGCATTCAGCCCCCAGAACATGTCCATCTTATAGCTGGACGTTTGTACCCCTTCACCAGCATCTCCCCGCCTCCCCCCACGCCCCAGCCCCTGACAACCAGCATTCCACTCTGTTTCTTCGAGTTTGACTTTTTTATTTTTTTTTAATATATTTTTTTA